ATATTCTATCATATTATGCAAAAGCAATATGAAACAAGGAACATACAGCAGGATGTTCTATCTATGTTTAATCACACCCTTCTTCATCAATGAAAATTCCTCCCAGTCTAAAAGACTGGGAAGAGTGATACATCTACCAGATTACATATTCATTTGAAATGGTTGGAATCTCAGTTGCTAAACAGTCAAACAAAGCAATGGAGAAACACGCAAGAAATGAATGGGAAAAGTTAAAATGCACATTGTGACTTAACACAGCTGTTTTCTTTCAAGATAGAAAAAGCCGAAGAATATAGCCATGGGTAGCATACAGGAAGGCTCAGCATGAATGAGCTACTGAATTTCAAGTGTCTAATGAGACAGCTGTGGAAAATCTGAGGCATATTAACTCTAGCTGTTGTTCAAGGCTAATTTGATATTGGAAGGATTCCTTGAAGTTGATGCACTGCCACACATATAAAAAGATACAAAATAGCTTCAAATCATGGAATATATATATTGCTTGTGCCAGTTTTAGTTTCCGAGAAAACATAAAAGGTAATTAAAAGGTGGGAACCTTTGGTTACTGTAAGTAACCTGTCCTCTTTCATGATCTCTGTAAACCCACATTATTGGGAGAGTAGCAAAATTACTTTTCAACAGTGGGTAGGTGGTACTGGAGCACTGAAGACAGCAAGGCTCTGCCAAATCCAGGATCCCTGTGCAACCTGACATCAATCCTCTAATGCTGTGCAAAGGCAGATGGTTGCAACCACCTTGCTGCACAAGAGATGTCTGGAATGGGTACACAATTCAGGAGGGCCACAGAGGTGGCAACTGATCTCACCAAGTGCCCTTTAATGGGAGTTGCTTACATTGTAATTCACAGTAAAGTTTTAACACAGAGATGATTCATTACAAGGGACGTGGTGGCGCTGCGGGCTAAACCGCAGAAGCCTGTGCTGCAGGGTCAGAAGACGAAGCAGTCGTAAGATCGAATGCCCGCGACGGAGTGAGCTCCCATCGCTTCTCCCAGCTCCCGCCAACCTAGCGGTTCGAAAGCATGCAAATGCAAGTAGATAAATAGGGACCACCTCGGTGGGAAGGTAACAGCGTTCCGTGTCTAAGTCGCACTGGCCATGTGACCACGGAAGATTGTCTTTGGACAAACACTGGCTCTATGGCTTGGAAACGGGGATGAGCACCGCCCCCTAGGGTCGAACACGACTGGACAAAAATTGTCAAGGGGAACCTTTACCTTTACCGATTCATTACAACACTCCTTGTGGGGGAACCTTTAGCCCTTTTTAGTTTCTGCCATAACATATAAAGAGTCTTTGAAAGCAAGCGCCCTATGAACATCCAGTACATGCAGAAATTTCTCAATGTCATTTTGTGGGTGGGGAAGAAAGTGGGATTTAGGTGGAATTAGGAGACAATTTTGGGCAGAAAAGATATGTTTACAGTAGGTCTTATACAGAATGTGCAGACCTCACTGGTACATCTTGCTGATGTGAACACTACCAGGAAGATGGTCTTAAGGGTAAGTAATCTGATACTAGTTACAGTGATTGGCTCAACTGGTTTTTCCATGAGACTCTGAAGAACTAAAGGCAAATTCCAGGTGCTGAGTACCTTTAAAAATTTTTAATGTCTGGAATGGTGAACCATGGCATATAGTCCTTAGGCAGTGCATAGGCAGATGTTGCTGCCAAGTGTACTTGGAAAGAAAACATTTTGAGACCTTTTTACTTTAGGTGGAGTTTGGGTAGTGTGGGTGGCATATAAATTAAATAAATAAATTAATAAATAAAATATATTTGATGTCTTCTCCAAACTGTTTGGTGCAGACTGCAGGCATGCCTTTCCATTCTGCACTGTAAGGAGATCTGGACAGTAAGGCAGTTTGACAGATTGTCTTTCTGCCAGTAAAAGAAGTGGGGAAAATCAAGACTGTCTTGGCCATCATAGCACTGTCACTATCACATTGGCATTGTTTCATCAGATCTTAGCTAGAACTTTTGGTAACAATGGAAAAGATGGGGAGGCATACAGGAAGTTCATTGACCAGTGGTGAAGGAAAGTGACACCAAGTGATTTGTTGGTGGGTTGACCTCTGGAACAGTAAAGCCAGCACTAATGATTTTGGTGAGATGCAAATAGATCCACTTTAGGCTTTCCCTGTCTCTTGAAGATCTTTGTAGCAACTGTTGGATTTATTTATGTATTTATGTATGTATTTGTTTGTTTGTTTGTTTGTTTATACCCCGCCCATCTAGACACAAGTCTACTCTGGGCAGCTAACAATAAAAATAGAATAAAAGCAGTATAATAAAATAAAAAGCAACAATAGTAGTATGGTTCAAGATGGAGGAAAATAAAAACAATCAAGTGATGACAGGAGAAAAAGCATGCCTAAAGAGCCAGGACTTAAGTTGGCTCTTGAAAACTTTCCACTCATGGAAATACACTTTTTTCTGCTTAATGAGTCTGCCTGAGTGCTTTCTTGGCCTGACAGGCAAATTGCTATTGGCCAGATGTGGTTGTACCTGCTTCAGTCCCAGAGCTGGGTGGAGAGTGTTGTTATTGGTGATCTTGGTTTTGTGTCTCCTTGCTTGCTAATATACCACATCACTATACTGTTGTTAGTTATCTTGTGTTCCGAATACCTTAATAGAAACCAATACTTCTTAGCTTGTTTATATGGATTCTTGATTTCCTGAGGAATCATACGTTGTGTGTGCTGAATTGGTGGCAACATTTGTCCCATTCTGTAGTGGACACGTGGTTATGACTAATGTTGGCCTCAACATTTCAAATGGTTATTTTGTGGTAATGTTGTAGTAAGACATCCACTACTTTAGTGATAGTTTTACAGAAGGCGGGATTTTGATATATATTTTTTCTTGCATCAATCTTGGTAATCGGAGAAACCATAATTGTAGGGGCCTAATTAGCAGCCTGGCATGTGTGTTGTGATAATTGACACCATGAGCGCCAGCATCCTTTGAATATCTTTGGATGTGATCATTTGTGCTCATAGTGAATATAGTTGCTATTTAGTTGGGTGCCCTTTTCTTTGGCAGCATGACTTGAGTCAATGTGGTGTTTATGTGAATTCCTATGAGGTCTATGACTTGTGCTGGAGTCAGGCAAGATTCTCTGGAATTTATGAGTTCTGATTTCAGTAGGAGACAGATTGTTGTATGAAGGGTGGTTTTGAGTTGCCTCTCTAATGCTTCTACCATAAGCCAGTAATTTATATAGGGGTAGATCATTATACGTTTTAATCCAAGGTGGGCTGCTATAATGCCGATGCATTTGGTGAAAACCCTTAGGTCTATGGAAAGGTCAAGTGGGAGGACTTTGAACTGTGTTTTCCTATGCTGAAACAGAGTGGCTCACAGTGTTAAAAAGAAAAGAATTAAAAATACATTAAGTTATACAGGTGTACTTCGGTTTACGTATGCCTCGGTTTACATAATTTTTGATTTACGAGCCAAAATCCGTAAGAAATAATGCCTTGGTTTACGTTTTTTATGGGGGGGTGGGTTCGCTGTACGAAAAGGACGCATCACACCTGGAGGTTTCCAGTGCCATCCCCATTGCTATGGCAATCCATGTTCTGGTTTACATAATTTCTGCATTACATAACGCCCCGGATGATGGATTAATTTTGTAAACTGAGGTACTACTGTACATTAAAAAACTATTAAACCAGGAAACTGATTAAAATACCTTTAAATGATTAAAGACATATAGAAATGTTAAAAATTATCTTAACTAAGAAGTGGCATTTAGGAACTCAGTCATGATAGTTAAATGCCTGCCTGAAAAGGTGGGTCATTAGTTGTCAATGGAAGGATAAAAGGGAGGGCATCAATGCGACCTCCTGAGGGAGAGCATTCAGTAACCTGGAAGCAGTCACATGTCCCATCAACTGTGGCTGCATTGGCAATGGGCCTGAGAGAACAGCCCCCTCTGATGGTCTAGGAAATGGCACAGAGTGCACAGATGCCTGGATCCAATCACAAGCTATCTACCTGCATTCCTTCCTCTTTCTTTCCTTTGGGAACCAGGTATTTGCTTTTCAATTTGGAATGTTGTGTTCTTGCTCCATTGAGAAAGCAGAAACAAAAGTCTATTTTGGAGGGGCACATCTCTCCTTCTCTTGATCCTTTTCAAATAATCTAGGCTTTATGACTTCTGAGATCCATACAGCATAGATCATGTTTGTTGTTATGAACCATCAAGGCACCTCCAACTTGTAGCAATCCAATGAATACATGACCTCCAAAGGTTTCTATCGTTAACAGCCCTGCTCAACTCTTGTAAAACCAAAGGCTTTAGCTTCCTTTATGAAGTCAGTCCATGAATCTCATACTATGTTGCTTCATTATACTAACATACAAGTAGAAGTGGAGAAGGGTAGTCACATTAAAGAAAGGCCTTTGAACTGTTACCCTGGTTTACTCTTGAGTAATCCAGTCAATCTGATTTCTGGGTAGAACTGCATAAAATAGATCTATGCTGCTTTGTCACACTTCTATCTGAGCATGAACAGAGAAACGACAGTCATATTAAAGAGAGGCTTACAAATGTTACTTTAATCATGGCTGAGAAATCTAGTCTTGTCACTTATGGTCAACATAAGAATAGTCTTGGCTATGTGCTGATTCTCACCTTTATTTCAAAGTAGGTGTCCCCAAAGAAGCATTTTATGTGAAGTCATTCTCCCAGTTTTCCATTCATACTTATGAAATGTTATGGTCAACTCATAAAGTAATGTAATGTATATAATGTAAAGTAAACTGAATTCTAAGAAATTCTAAATCCCCCTTTCACATAAAAGGTCCCTCTGTTTTGCAGGTGTGATTTTTTTGAGGAATTGGGTGGAATACTGGCCAAGCTTTAATAGATGTGCCTAGACATTCAACATGCAAAGAAAATAAATATTATATATTTTATATGGACGCATTTGTCATATTCACATACAGTTTTGTATATTTAAGAAAACCTACCTTGAAGTAGTGCAGCAATTTGGAGTGATTGTTGTGATGGATGTTCTTTAAGAACGTCTAAAACAGTTCTGCCTAAACTGTCCTTTATGTTGGCATCAATTCCTGAAATAGAAAAATATTATATCCCATGGTAGTAGGATTAAGAACAGTATCATATTCTCAGCTCTCCTGGCTAGAGGCATGTAGGACAGGGCAAAGAAGCTGGTAGAAGGATGCTCTGCTATGGGAGGAGGCACATCTGTGCTGGCAATCACTGGTATGCCTAAGGAAAGCTCAGCAAGTATAGATCTACTACCAATGGTATATCTGTTTGTGATAGTCTCCATTCTGATGATAGAAGCCATGTTGAATGCCGGATCCAAGGCCCCTTTGTTACCACAAGAGGAACTTGTAGGTATTTCCCCCTCCCCTCACTGAAACCAGGAGAGGGAGAGGGAATTTTAAAAATACAGTTGCTGGCCATTTTTAAAAACAGTTACATGTCAGCAAGACTTCAAAAAGTAGCGAGTAATCTTTCCCTTCACAGCTCCTCTTGCCTCATTTATAACTGCTCTTTAAATGTCTTCAATCAATATTCTTTATTATAAATGCATTACATTAATTGATAGTCTCCCTGCCCATTATGCTCCATACAGTACCAAACATGTAACGTCTTGCAGCTCCAACAGAGCTTAGGCCCATCCAGCTACATCTTCTGTCTTCATAAAAAATCATCATGTCTACAGGAGACTTTATTCCTTAGGTGCAAGCAATAGAGATGGGGGTACAGTGGTGCCTCGCTTGACGACGATAATCCGTTCCAGCAAAATTGCTGTACAACAAAATCGTTGTCAAGCGAAAGTAAAAAATCCATTAGAATGCATTAAAAACCGGTTAATGCGTTCTAATGGGCGAAATACCTCATCGTCCAGCAAAGATCCTCCATAGGGTGGCCATTTTCCGGTGCCTGTAAAGCGAAAAAGCCCTCCTAAACACAGTGGGGAGCCATTTTGCACAGCTGGCAGCCATTTTGAAACCCAACGATCAGCTGTTTTCTGATCGTCGTTAAGTGAAAAATCGGTTCCTGAAGCAGGGAACCGATCGTCAAGCGAAAAAAGCCCTTTGAAACATTGTTTTGCGATCGCAATAGCGATTGCAAAAACATCATCGTGAAGTGATTTTATCATATAACGAGGTAATCGTCAAGCGGGGCACCACTGTATTCATATTTGTATACGAATATGAATACCCCCACAAAGCTGGACATAACAAGGGTCCAGTCTCCTGGGGTCAGACCATCCAGTAATGTGTCCGCCGCCACTGCTGGCTCCGCTCTCTTCCAATCGCTCTGCAGCTCACAATTGGCTATCCATTCCTGGCAGAAGGAGGGAAGACAAGTCTCCCTGCCAGGCTAAGGAATAGATAGCCAACCACAACGTCTAGAGCAATTGGAAAGGAGAGCGGAGCTGGTGGCAGACACATGAGTGGATGGTCCAGCCCCAGGGGGTGATTACAAATACCTCCATCTCTAATAAGCAATTCAAGAGTGGTTTGATTTTTTAATTATGTTTTATTTTAAAGCCTCCAGAATTCTGGCTGCAGGAATTTCTGCAGACTCCTGAGACTATAGCCCAAATAAATATTAAACTCCTGTGCCTGGTGAATTTTCTTGGACTACAATCCACTTCCTTAGACATATGATTGTGTGAAGAAGTATCTAAATAAGTTTATTATAATGCATGTATATTTGCCCTAAAAGCACCATATTAATCTTAAAGAATTAACAATACTTTTTGGATTTTTGTTTTTGTTTTTTGTGGTCTCGGGAAACAGTAGCTATTTACCTTACATCAGTAGATACTTTCCCAATAGTTTACTATGTATTTGGTTCCACTGCAATAGAGATTATCCATCTGGATATATGACATGTATCAAGACTTCTGCCTCCAATCCAGCAACTAATTTCAGATGAGATTAGATACCATGTTCTGGAAACAGAATACAGGGAATCTGTTTAAACAATAATTACGACATACCTGTGTCAAGCAGAATGCGTACCACATCCACTTTTCCAAATAAAGCTGCTTCATGTAATGCACTCCCCTTTTCCGTCTGGAAAAAAAATATTCAATGATAACCTCAAATATCATAAAATCCACTATAGTAGTAATGAAAAGCAGCATTATTGATCTAATAAAAGAATTAATAAATGATCTAATAAAAGAATAATGATCTAATAAAAGATGCAATATTGATTAGGCTTGAATAACACTGCAATTTTATGTATTTTTAGTTTGAATTATGTTGCATTAACTTCAATGGGATTCACTCCTCTGCAAAAAGTAGTGTAACCAAATTCATAAGAAAAAGTTCCTTACCTGCAACTGTGGTTCTTCAAGTAGTCATCTATGAACTCTCACATATGAGTCTTGGGGCTAGGCAGCGTTGCATTTGAAATCTTCTAGATCTAATCTTCATGCAACCTACCCCATTGTGTATTTCTTGCTACATTTTAATGTTTTCCCCTTAGATCTATGTCTGCTGTAAACAGATATTAAGGTTCAAATAATCAGCAGCATGGTGGACTCTGAAGAGAAGGTGAGTTGTGTGAGTTCACAGAGAACAACTTGAAGAATCACAGCTACATATAAGCTGCTGCAGCTACTACTACTTCTTCTTCTACTACTACTACTACTACTAAATCAATGGGGAATTGGTTACACATACACTCTGTAAATTCCATTGATTTCAATGGTCCACTCTAGTTCCAAATTACTGTGCTAAAGTAAATTGCAACTACAGTAGTCTCATTTTAATCCATCAAATTTAGAGTTGATTTACCAAGTCCCCACTGATTCAATGGGCCTACTGTGACTTACTAGTCTAAGCAACAGGATTTCAACTACTGATTCAGAAGTTACTGTGTTGTAGAGATGTTTGGCAATAAATAAAGCACATCAAACAGATAGATGATCAACAGCCATACATTAGCATTTACTGATATTGATGGAAACCATTCACCTAGAGAATAAATATATTTATTAACTACTGGATAGCTCAGTGGTTTAGGTACCTGGCTGTGGAGCCAGAAGTTGAGAGTTTGATTCTCCACTGTGCCTCCTTGACTGGGGCTGGACTCAATGATCCATAAAGTCCCTCCAACTCTGCAGTTCTAAGGTTATCATTATCATTATCACTAAAGTAGCCCCTGCTCCTTAAAATTCCAAGAAATTATGGAAGCAGCCAGATGTAGCAACAGGTAGGAAAAGAATATTATAAGGAATTTCTAATGTCCCGAAGCTTTCTGATCACCAGTGAGTAGATTCAAACAACACATATTTAACATAATTTTGTCCAAATATAGAAATTTTGTAGGCCTGAACATGTATGTGTTTCATTAACGAGCTGCCATTGTGCACAGATGTGAGAGTGCTGAATCACTCTGGACATGATGTAATGACTTGAAACCAGGAGAAGACCAGGTGCAAAGGATGAAGTCATCTGTCTTCTGATTGGACTAAAAATGCCATGTACATGTATATAAGTGGACTGTGTCTTTGTGTCTTTCTCTTCCTCTTCCACCACTTGCTGCCATGCATTATGCAAGATTGTATAAAGAGTTCCTGCCATGCTGTTGAGATGCCTGCCTGTAAATATCTGTAAATACAACCGTCTTGCAACAAAGAAGAACTTGTGTCTTCAATAACTCTGCGCATTTCTACTGTCGCCAAAATCCTGACAAATTTTACATGCATACTATGAGTTGGATTCAGAATCTGCCTTCTGCTAGAAGAGCTTTGCTTGAGGAAGAGCTCTCTAATTGATATTTTTTTGATTCTTCCCCACCAGACACCATAATTTACCTAATTCAGCATAGCTTGAAACATCTTTATATGCTCTTCCCTTTTGTTGCAAGCACAAAAGACTATGCTCCCACACAAGCTTTGATATTGCATGGAATATGAAATAGAAGAGTAAGTATTTATTATGTCAGGGTTCTCTGTTTAAGAATCAGCAATCTGAAATACACCCAGAGGGACAGCAGCAATAGGAGGTTAGCACAGATGTTGAACTGTAGAGAATTGTCTGATATATTCATAGCAGTCAGATTGTCTGTTCTACTCTTCTATCCAATCTGCAGGAATATTATATTACTTTGTGATATTTCATTATGGGGTTACAAATACTTCTGTTCAGGAAAAATCAGGAAAAGGTCACACGGTTGTCGAAACAATACAAATGCAGGAACAGTTGATACCTTCATTCAACCATTAAGAACGTAACAAAACAAAAAACAAAAAGTGAGCTTTCAGTGATGAATCATCCTCTTCAAGGCTATGAATTAAATTCTGGTAGGTAATTCCAAAATTATATACTGTACTGTTATTAATGTCCCAAATCCACAGGGCTGATGTTGAGGCCAGGTTAGCTTTTTAGTTGTTAATGGCTGCAGTATGCCAGTTAGTTCCAAGCTCCTCCTCAGCTAGCAGTTTGGAATTGATGGCCTATTTATTAAAGCAGTGGACCATCAGGCATTCTGGGGGTCCCTTCTTCCCTCTTTCTGCCTTTTTGAAACTCCAAGAACTTATATTTAGCTAGAGAAGAAGAGCACGTCTTCAAATTTATCTATCGTACAACTGCAAAAGAACACAAGAACACATTAATAACAGTATATAATTTTGGAACTACCCACAAGAACTTGATGCACAGCCTTGAAGATGATTTACCATCAAATGCTCACTGTTTTTTTTCTGTTTTATATTCTTAATGGCTGAATAAAGGTGTCACTTGTTCCTGCATTTGAAATATTTCTATTGTGTCATATAAAACAGAAAAAAATCCACAAGTCTTTATTCAAATAATAGCTTTAAAAAACAATACTAACTTGGCAGCTGACATCCATTCCAGCTTCTAGTAGAACCTGTACAACAGCTTTGTGACCATTACGAGCTGCAAGGTGCAAAGGAGTATGTTTTCTCGTATTACAGCTCATCAAGTTTGGATATGCATTGATTATCATCTTCACTACTCGCAGACGGCCATATAAAGCTGCCAAATCCAATGGTGTCTCTAATTTGTTGTTTCTTATTGTTGGATCAGAAAGTTCTTCAAGCAAAACAGCTACCACTTCAGAGTGTCCATACTGGGCTGCACAATGTAAAGCTGTTTCATTTTCATTGTTCTGTTAAAAGAGAAAATAAATCATGAAGTGTTTTATCAATAACTATAAAAAAGAGTTTTTGAGGCAAGCTGTTTGAGCACACTGAAATTGGTTTAAGAGATATTATTTCAAAAGTAATTCTTTTACTGATAGTGCTGAGGTCAAGTAGCTTTATCAACTCAATGCTTGTATTGTACATTGTGCAGTCTTTCCCCTTAAAGCAGGAGGAAAAACATGAACCATGGCCATTCATGTGATGGCTGATGAAGTCTACAAATTTGGTTCAGTATTTAATGAAACGAATGCAAATATAAACATCTAGATAAGCTGTCCAAACAGAAACCATAACTGTTACCAAATAAACAGAGAAAAATAGCATAGTTATCACAGTTACCATTCACATGATACTAGTATGAGAACAGGATTTTGCACATAGATAAACAAACCAAAATAAACACTATTACTGTCAACTGTTAGTCCCATTGATCCATTACATTTTATACAAAGAACTAATAATTGTGACTATCACTTCATTACTGATTGGCTCATGGCATCACTCCAATGCTACAAGAGCTCTAGGCTGAACCATCAGATTCCATTACATGAGCAGCAGATTCCATTGCACTCCTTACACAGGGATGTCACTAATTCCGCCCATATCCTCCAAAAGTTGCTCTGGAGACTTTTCTCCCAGAATACTTGATGCTAGTTTCTAGGCACATGAGGAGGAAATAGCTATGTCTTCTCCACATACAGATGTGCCTTCTTTCTGTAGCAAGATCTTCAGATACACACACACACACACGTATGTCACATAATTTGTCTCATACATACACACACGTACGTGTGTATGTATGTGAGACAAATTATGTGACATTAACAAGGGCTTTCAAGGTAAGTGAGATATATAAGGAGTGCTTTTACCAGTTCTACTCTTCCATGAGTTTCCATGGCCAAGTGGGGATTTGTATCCTGTTGATATGTATAATTACTCTAGTAAAATAAAGGAATAAACACAGTATTTCTTCAAATTTAACTATATATACTACTGCAAAAGAACATAAGAATATACTGCACCAAACAAATATTGTGCAATTAGATGAAAGGCTGTACCCATGTTTTATAAGATGCAAATATTAGGTAAAATAAGAAAGACTGATTAAAAATAACAATTTATACCTAGTTATTACATTTTGCATCCACATTTTATTATTTACACCAGGGGTCCCCAACTCCCGGTCCGCAGCGTGGTGCCGGTCCATGGGCTGCCTTGGACTGGGCCGCGGACAGGGATCACTGCCCCCCGCCCACCCACACGGGGGGGCGTGTTGTGCTTGCTGGTGGGTATTACGAGCTTGTGCGCATGTGTGCGAGTGTGACATGCCCCCTCATGCTCATGTGTGACACACCCACCTCTTAGGCAAGCCCAGCCTTGAGTGGAGGGGAGGCGGCTTCATCACGGCGGCCTGCTCAACCCTGGAGGACCTCAAGCTGACAGGCAGAGGGCCTGAGCCAGGCCTTCCTGGACGAGGGCTTCCATGCCTTCTTGGCTGAGTATGCTGCTGAAGTGGCGGCCGTGCAGTGCCAGCGGGTGCTGCAGACCAGCCAGGCCAGCCTCCACCACCTGCCACCTCAATCTCTGCACCCCCTTCCACCTTGATCAAAGAGATCTGGCGGCGGCAGTCATGAGCCTGGACTCCTCGCCTTCCTTGCAACCAGCGGCAGCTCAGCTTCTTGTGGCTGCCTGGTGGCAGCCGCTGCTCCCTCCCACACTACCTGGCCACCAGCCACGAGGAGCTGAGCTGCCGCTGGTTGCAGGGAAGGCGGGGAGTCCCAGGCTCATGACCGCCGCCAGCGGATCTCTTTGATCAAGGTGGAAGGGGCAGCTGATGGTCATCCTACTGGTCCTAGCAAAGCCCAGGCCGGGAGCCTTCACCAGCGGCCAGGAGCAGGCCGGAGCCGGAGCGGAGGACGACAACCTCGGGGGGGGGGGGGATCTGGGGAAAATACAGCTTCCA